TTTTAAAAAAAAGATATATAATATACAATATTTTAATATCATTTAATATATTATTTGTTTAAAAATCAATTTGAAATTCGTTTTGTAGATATTGTAATCCATATAAATATTGAATTTTTGTCATGATAAAAAAGCTAATTTAAATAAAAAAATTATAAATATACAGTATTATATAGTATATACAAATTTTAAATAATAATTTTTTTTTTTGATATCAAACTCTCAATATTATTAAAATTTTTTATTAATTAAAGGTATTTAATTACAAAAGAAAGCTCAAACGTCAAAAATGATATGTATAAATTTGAATTATTTAAACAAATATTTTTATATAATTGGTAATTTGTATATAAATTATAAAGCCCATATAACGGTTATTTAAAATTCTGAATCGATAAAAAATCGATACGTACATTTTTTTTTTTTTTTTTAAAAAAAAAAATTATTTTCATCAAGGAATGGGAATCAATTAGACTTATGAAATAATAATTTGTTTATCAATTCTTGTTTGTAATTTTTATATATAAATAAATGAAAATGAATAAATAAATAAATAAACAATAAAGTGGATAAATATAAATATTTATGAAATGATCATACAGCATAGCAATATTATTATCACATGCTCAGATATTTTCTATTGTATACCAGTAATCCATATTTTGCAGGTGTACAGTGTGAATACAGTATGCTGTAATGCTACTGTATATGCTATGTAATGGTGATGGATGGGGGAAGATGATGTAAAAAAAAAAAAAAAAAATTTTTTTTTTTTGGATTTTTTATTATTTACACGTATAGCTTGGTTTTACATCATCTATATCGTAAGATACAACAGATTCAGTTAATCTCATTGCGTGATTTTCAAGACAATAATCACTTGGGAAAAAATACGGTAGATAGTGTACGTACAGTACTTTGTTCAATCGTACAATCACCGGCAATTATTCGATATATTGGTTTAATATTTTTTTAAAATGAATAATGCGGATACGTTTGAGAAACAATCAGAACACTTTGCATGATGGAGCACAAGCAAAGATGGTTGTGAATGAGATTCCATTAGTTCTTTACAAAAACATAAATAACCGGTACCGCAAATCAAAATCACGTATGGACTCGCGTGAAATCGCATGAGGTTCGGAACAACGTTAGAAAAGTATGGTGGACCGTGATCCGCCCAAGAAATTTGCATTAACCTTGAATTGAATAGAATCGAATCCAGAATCGTTAGGACCCCCACTTGGATCATGTTCTCAATCGCGTATGTGAACTTCGATCACATATAATGTAATTTACTATACATACAGTAGAAATTTATTGAACACCGTAGATCAGCAATCTTCATAGATAATGGGATTGATTGCATGTCTGTGACAGATCTTATCAACATGAAAATTCTATTTTATCCTAAAGTTCACACCTAGCATTTTTGTTTCTAAAAGTTATTAAATGTGTAGAGTGCAAACAATTTTTAATGGAAAAATAATATTTTTTGTTTGTTAATTATTGCATTATGTTTGTGTTGTGATGGGATGTATACAGGTCAGACTGGTTATTACAACTAGTTTTAGTATTGATTTAAATTGTGATAGTCGTAAACTGAAAATTATGTTGACCGTTAACAGAGGTCTACGGTAAATTGTAAATTAAATTTTAATTATGACGACTAAATATAAATGGAAATAAAAACAAAATTATATTAAAACAAAAAGACGTCTTCTTTAGGTAAACGAAAATGCGGTTATCATGTACCGTGTTAAGATTGGTTTCAAGAGATTCGGATGAGAATCTCTTGCTGTTTATGATAGGTTTCACGATATTTCCGGGACATACTTGTGAAGTTACTCGGTAAAGTTAGAGACACGATCTTCGAGTGAAACGAAATTTCTTTTATGAATACAAATCGAATCTAGGGTCAACTTGACATCGTGATTGTTCGACTGGTTAACCTTCAACCACAGTTTTCTTATCCGTTCTAGCCAAATGCGTTCATAATAATGCATGTATGCATATATACTGCAGTATAAGGTCGACGAACAATAGAAGATCGTCAACCAATTCTGAACAATAGAAAAACTTTATCCTTATTTTTTTCGCGGATGCCCAAAAGTATCAAGTGAAATGTGACTCATCGATTTATTCGCCGGTGATTTTGGTTCGACAAGGTTTTTAGCACACAGAATTTCTTCTTATTCATTACCTTTGCCATTTTAGCGTAATTGCTGTCCTCGTTATTTTTTTTTTTTTTTTCACGTAAGGGTTGTTTGGTTGGTCTTGCCTCGTTTTTGATTACGCAAGGTTTATCATGCATACGTACGTACCTACATACATATTGTTGGGTCACCTTAGGCTTGCGTTATTCGTATTACGTTATTAGGACGTACTCACATCCATAATAAGTGCATGAAGTATAGTGATTTTCGTTGAGGTGGTATTTCAAGATATTGTTCGATTGTGTATGATGACCTCATAAGCGATTCCCATTACCATTGTTTTCAATTGAGCGGCGAGCCTTGAGGACGGAGAGGCAAAGAATAAGAAATGTAAAAATGATTGATGAGGTCAATGTGGCAAATTTTGGCTTTGATATTTCCCAACTTCTTTTTTTTCTTACACTGCCCCATTGAACGAACTCGCATACAATGGCTTGAGCCCATTCGCGCCCGTGAGTTGAATTTCCACAAATAAACTTATCAATTGTCGACGCTCTTTTCGTAGAGATTGTAATTTTTTTAATTGTTTCGTGATACTATTATTCGCTCTTCACGCCAAAGATTACTTGCATCGACTTTCGAAAATTCATTTCGTGAGACCATTGATGCAAGAATTTGGATTGAGTTATATTCACCAATTTCCATTTACCAGCTGACTTTCGGTATATGGATAATAATAGCTATTATGATGATTAAGTAATTCTGAGCACGGTAATTCGCTCATTATTATCTACGCACTCGGACAACAAAAGGGGCGAGTGGTATTGTTGTTGTTTGTAGTGTGTTAAATTAATTTGAGTGTCATGTGGGCGAACCGATGTTAAACCGACGGGCGCGCACGCACGCACGCACACACGCAGTCACTCTAAAGATGATGAGTGAGGTGATGATAGGTGATGCCTGTGTAAACATTCTTCGAAACGTAAGATCATGGTGTGACGTGCATTCCAGTTACATACGTACGTACGTGAACGTTAATCTAACTGCAATTCTCTAGTGCGAAGGTGCCAGACCGTACTAGATTGAATGCGATATTGTGCTATGTTACTAGGTTACGTGACAGTGACAGAAATTGCGTGATAGGCAACGGGCTAAGACTAAATTAGTGGCAATGTTCTCAGTTTAGCGATAACATCCCCTGAGAAGAGAGGGGACCGACTAATAATGTTCTTAGGAGGTTAGTGGTGGATTTTTTCTTTAGGAAGGAGGTTAGCCGTGACACCGGTATTCCTTAAGAGAAACGCAAGATGTCTACGTGCGACGCACAGGAAGCGAGTAAGGTATGTGAAGGATGCATACGTATGCAAGGACATCGAGGGCATCATAACCATTCATTCGAGCGTCAAAGTGGTGGGTGATACACACACGCTAACCATTCGCTTATACACTATTTGAAACGTTGCGTGCGACGGGTGTAATGAATATATAATGGATGTATCTGTTTATTTATTTATTTTATTTTATTTATTTATTTATTTATCTTCCTAGTATTTAGGCCACCGTTTGCGTGTATGAATAGGTATGTAGGTATATATAATGACTTAGCTGAACATGACTTATTGTAGAAATTGGTGTGATGTTCCTTAATTAAATCGATCATCATCACAAGTAATTGCCTCTTCGTGTTAAAAGGTCTGTTGCCAAGTGCGTCAGTGCATTATCGTGACAAGATTCTGATGTTTTGGTATCTGGTACCACTTCGATTTAATTGTGAGAGCTCGCAATACTCTCTTGTAACACGGTAAAGTGCGTAGGTGAAAGTAAATTGACCGACCGTTTTTCCGTGACTCCAAGTGCGCGCGTTGCACTCCTTTCGTTCGGTGATACATGCATTGTGCGTGTACACAAGCACCATCTTTTGTGTTCATTTTTTTATCACCGCTTTTTGGGATTTTTAGGTTTAGACCGTTCAACAACTTATCATTATTCCATCTATCGAACACTATCATCATTCACATCCTATCATCATCCACATTCTATCATCACCTCTCCTCCACTCAGACTCTCACGGCCGTTGGGCCCGCCATCTATCATTGCATGAATTATCGATTGAGAAATTCAGCTATTATCTTTTCAGATGCGTTGGTCGTAGCATTTGGGTCGTGTGTCTACATTAAATCATACCACGAATCAAGTTAAAATCATGTTTTTGATTCCAATTTGTTTACTCCATCCGCCAAAAAGCATGCACAGTAGATAATACATATGATCAAATATATTATTATTATTGTATTGCTATTTTGATTAAGAGGTGTCGTATGTTGGATAACCAGATTTTTTTCCCCACAAAAAGAGAAAAGGGTCCCTTTTTTTTTTTCCTGTTCTCCAAGTCCCGAAAAAAAAAAATTACATATATAAAAAAAATTTTTTTTTTTTTTCTTTTTTTTATTCTATCTTTTTTCTTGGTCGTCCTGCTTCTTTTTTTTTCTCGCTTCGTTTAATTCAATTTATTTATACTGTCATATTGTTTGTTATTTATATGTACTATATAATAAAAAAAAAGATTAGTAATAATAATAAAAATAAAATAAATAAATTCCTTTCCGGGAGTTGGCTCGAATGACATAAAAGAACGACAACCTGTTTCTTTCCTCTTTACTTCTTGAAAAAAAAAAACTCTTTTGAGACTTGAAAAGAATAAACGAGAAACACTCTCCGCAAGAAAAAAGCCACCAGACAAATCTCAACTTAGATTCGCTATATACACAGAAACTTTTAACTATCAATTTCTCTAGCACCATTATTACTTTTCCCTTGTTGCCTTAATTTTTGTACAATATAAAGATGTCGATAATACGCAAGATAAAAACTATTCTCTGTTGCTCGCGTAGTGGTTACATGTTTGACGAGGACGATGACGACGTCGGCTCCATCGCTGAATCTTTCACCGAACGACAGCAGGACGTCTCGGAAAAAACCTTGTTAGGCGACTACAACAACAAGACCGACCTGACGCCGAGTCGGACATACCAACCGGTCATCGTGAAGTCCGTGCTGAAAAGGAGCAAAACCCAGGCGTCCATAACGAAGAACAGAAGAAGATATAATATCCTGTTATTCGGCGACAGCTTGACTGCCGGTAAGTTTTTTTTACCTTTTTCCCTTCACACATAGACGGGGAGGTGACGCGACTGACGCAGGATGACGTAATTCGAGGGGGGAACTTTGGAAATACCGGTTTGAAAGTCGCCTTGGATCAGGCTTGGGGGTGGGGGTGGTAGTGGTGGTGGCACTTTGTCGGTGTGTGGGGAATAGTTTATCATTCGAGTGTGGCCGTGGGTTTCTGGTTCGTTTTGGGACCAATTAATACTTGTAGTACGATGGTTGCATGATTATAGTATGAAAATATTATGATTGATTGATGGGCGCAAGGCTTGGGGAAATTGAATTCGATTTTTATTATAGTCGGCTCATTGCACATGAGGATTAGCACATCCAGATTCACGCATGAATGTTATTCCAAAAGGCAATTATCAAGATCTATTGATCACGATCTTTTTTTTTCCTCCTTATATTTAAACAGGTTGGGTGAAAAATGCTGACGGTTATGGAACATATCATCCTTATGGTCTGAGGGTTCAAAAAAGGTTTGAGGACGAGGGTTTGGATGTCGAGGTATGCATCGAGTTTTCTTCACTCCCCTATCTCCCCAATTGATGCTCATTTATTGAACGCTCAATTTTAAATTTGCAACTCCTGTAGGTTACGGTGAGCGGTGTTCCTGGTGAGTGCGTCGTTCAATCAATGGAAGAACGTTTGAAAAATGAATTGGAGCAGCCAGGAAAGTGGTACGACTGGGTCGTAATCTTAGGAGGTAATTGTTCAACCATTCATTCATTTCATCCATTGTCCTTGACTTTACCAAATATTTATTATAACAATATTCTCCTAATGAACAGGCACAAATGACGTAGTCAACGGATATTCTGCCTGGGATATCTATGATGGCTTAAAAAAATTGTATACGCTGTCCGCTAAGCACGGTGCGCGAGTTCTAGGAGTAACAATTCCAGAGTTTGATTGGGTAACTATTTCACTTTGATTGCATGATTACGTGTCCGATGTTCCATGCGCGTTTACTAAAAAATACCATTTCCTATCCGTACCCAAAAAAGGTTTGAGGACGAGGGTTTGGATGTCGAGGTATGCATCGAGTTTTCTTCACTCCCCTATCTCCCCAATTG